CTCGCAGCAACGTCAGCTCACCCCGGAACTCCCTCATCTCAGCCATACACTCGACAAACATCCTGCGGAACTCGAGCATTTCGGCACCATCTGATGAAGGGCGCGCGGCTGCTACCACTCCTGATTTGCTGCCGGTCGTCGTAGCTTCTGCTTCCTTTATGGTACTAGGGGATGTGGATTTGGCAGCCGGGGTCTCACAAATCCCTTTAACTGGCGTTTGGCTATTATCGCCCTTCCGTGCACCCAGCTTGCAGGTTGGGCAAGCCCAGTCCTTTGATATCTGAGCTTTTTCCGACATGGCCAAGCAAGCTTTGTGGTATTTCAAAGGACATGAGTTACAAGTAGCGACACCTACCGTCGTCGTCGGCAGGAACTTTCCGCACCCGGCACACTTATTCATGTCTTACGGTTCGAACTTCGCAGCGTGCTTTAAAGTATGCTTATCAACATAAATTGTTTAAGCTGGTTATATTGTTTCGCCTCTCCGCCGCCAGATGGCACTATTCTTCGTAATAGTAAAAGCTTTCCTATCGCTAAGGCAGGTTAAGTCGGTTTATTTTTATTTTTGTTCACCCTCCACGTCAAAATAAAATTCCCGAAACCCAGACAAATTCCAGATTGAAGCAAAACGGGACCCGGGATGGCCGACTGTTTGACACCACACTTGTCCAATCCACCAGTACTTCAAAAAAAAAACAATTGAGGAGAGTGATTGTCAAAATATTTTCCTATAGATATTATTCAAAATTTATGTTTGTACTAAAATATTATTGTCACCAACACTGTCACTTAATTTTTGCACTTTAAAAATGATTATAATACCATTTTAGATATATTATTTTAGGTTTAACAATTATTAAATAAAATATTTGTACGCAGATAATGTTTACTTGATAACGCCCTCTAGCGATCCTTCTGATAAAGCCTTTTGCTTGAATTCCTCAATTTTCTGTTTGTACTTGTCTTTTTCCTTGTCACGCTTAAAGGACTTCATTAGATTACGGTAGCTATTGTGGTATGAATTTATTAATTGAACAATTCTGTACGGCGTCACTGTCGGTATTGATGCTTTGTCAAAGACGGCTTTCACTTTTGGAGCGACAATGTTAGATATCTGAGAGAAACTAACAGACTTCTGACTTTCTAATGCTAGAAGGTACTGTTCGTGGAAACAGCTCCTAAGGACATCTTGGTAAGTTGGAAGCTTACTCACAGGCAATTCCTTTGGGCAGCCAAACAATGGACAATCAAAATCACTCCGAGTTATTTTCTTGGCAGCAGCCATCACGCACGCGAATTTAAAGTTAACCTTCACTCAAAAAATTACAAACATAATTTGCACCATCAACTCACAGCGAATACACATCAGTCTAAAAGCGTCTGCTGACGTAAACTGCCGATTAACAGAGAACAAGAAATGGCAGTGCATTGTGGGTAGAGAGAGTTTGGGTGGGGGAAGCCCGGCAAGGCGGCCGAGTCATCGCCCGAACGCCTTCTCTCATCTGCACTTGACTGTATAATGCGTCATTTCCATGCTCGTTGCGCTACGTCAGATTAATAAAATTTTACTTTTCCAACTATTTATTGTATTTTTGAAACTCTGCTGTAAAGGGTTATCACTATAGCAGCCCAATATGCAGCTATTAAGATGTTTTTAAAAAAAATTACAAAAACTTATGATTTTAGTAAAATTTTGATATTTCAAATGTAATGCGCTAGCTGGAGGTTAGGTATATTTTTTTTTCTTTGTTGCATTTTGATTGCCTTCTATAGAGACAAGTTTTTTTCGGTATAGCATTAAGAAAAAAAAATTTTTTTTTTTTAGCCCACCCTAATAAACACGTTGTTGCTTTTTAAGCGCTGTTTCTATTTTAGAGAAATCGGTATCGTTGGGTAAGAAACTATGTCCTGACTCAAGATACCGAAAAGTTATTGTTTTTAATGTTGAATGGGAGTCTAATATAACCTTTAACATTAAAACAATTTTTATGTTACGATTCTGTCCACCGCAACAATCACTCCATAGTATAAGATGTTCTATAGTAGGAGGTAGTTTATTTTCAATATATTTGATAAGACATGATCCTACTTCTTGAGCGCCTCTTCCAGCTTCACCCTCTACCCAAACATAACAGTGACCTACATCATCTGATGCCGAATGTATCCCACTATTATAAAGCCAAAGCTGACGTTTATAAAAAATTACGTTTGTCGGTATACGAGAGAGTGGCAAGGTTTTTTCGAGATCAAATGATAAGCATTCTATGTTTGGCGTATTTCGCGCAGTTTCAAAGTCGCATTTCATCTGTTCCCTCATTTTTTTTGGCCTTCTCTAAGTGTGACGATTTCTCGGCCTCGTCTTTTGCTTTTTCTGATCCACTAGTGTTTCGTAATTGCACCGCAAACAAATCACACTCATTGCACGTGTCTGTTTTTAACGGTTTACACTTCAAATTAAAACTAGTTTAAAAAAAAATCTTTACAGTTTCAAGAGAGGCACTTTTCAACTCGGTGCCAAACTTTTCAACAAAAAGTTTCTTGTAAATACCATAAAGTTTTGATATTGTCATGCCAGGCTGTAAATATTGTATCTCATTGTTATTCTCCCTACGATAATGCGATTCATATTTAGGTAATTTTGAAATAACTTCCTTAATAAAGTTTCAAGTTCTGTTCAGTCAATTTATTCCAGCTTTTGTCTTTCTTTCCTCGACAGTCATTTATTTCATCATTGCGGATCTTGTCTAACGCTATGGTAACTTTTTGTGTTGAAAGGACAATGTTAAAATTGGCCTAAGAACCAACACCAATTTGGCATTTATGATAATTCTTAGTATATTTGTTGCGATAATTCTCAGTATTTAGATTGTGACGGACACTTCCAGTTAAGTAAGCTAAATTAAAAAGTCAAAAAATAATCTGAGACAATAAATACCATTTTATGTGTATCATCTATGGCAGCGCTGCAAACAAAACACTCTTTCTTCCTAACGCCGGCACTTCACTTGGCTATTCATATTTGCAATTTTTAAACATGACATCAGTCTGTCCTTTTCATTCCTTATTAAGCATGACAAGGACAAACTGTAGTCAAGTGAAGGGCCCGCATAAAACTTGTTACTCTGTAGTTGTGGTGCATGCAGTTTGCATTCGTAGTAATCTGTGGCATTCGTGCATTCCAAAGAGTAGTTTAATATACCGGAAAGTGCATTCTCGTTTCGGATTACCTGTTGTGTGTGTTTATTTGCATTGTTTTGCATTTAATTTAACTATTATTTAGGCTTATTTAGGCTATCTAATATGCCATCGATGTTACCAAAGAGCAGAGCCCTTATTACCAAGTGCTAGTGAACCTGTGCCACAACATCCTGAGAGGATCATACTGCCAAATTATTCAAGAACACCTGATAAACATTCACGCTGCATATTTACACAATATACATGTGTTATACAAATAAATACAATAAACAATATGATACAATTATGTGAAAAATAGTCAATAAATAAGAAACAAAACTACAGTTTTTATTTTATTCATGATTCCTACATAACCAAGTAGGTATTTCCTAATAGTTATTCTTTAAAATCGCACCGAATAAAATGAATTAGTTGTAATATTAATTGATGAAGTGTCATACTGAGTTCATACTAAATTCATAGGTTCACCTATGTTTCATTGAATATTAAACATAACCTCAAACAAAATTTAGTTTTCCTAATAATTTAAGTTCTCAGAAGTGTCCGTCAATAATCTTTGTTTTTACAGTCATTTTCTTACGATTTTGAACCTAGAAAATAATATTTCATGATTGTTGGTTCTTAGGCTAACTATGTATGGACACTGAACAATGTCCTTTGTAAAGTGTGCAGGAACATATCGCGACAGACTTTGAGATCTTTTAATTTATAGGTGCGATGAAATTGTTTGGGCTTCTTTTTGGTAACAGGGATAGAAGTCATGGTGTAGCTCCGTTTCTTTGGTTCCTCTGTGACACGTGACTTAATGTACATTAACTGGGCATTGTAAGATCCAAGAGTTATATAAGTCTCAAATATTTGTTTGCGATCTTCCAACGAAATCGCTCTGGCACATTTTTTAAGACATTTGCATTGATAATCCTTAAATACTTTGGGCTCAATTTTTTTCTGCAAGCGCACAGTTGTATACGGTAAATCATTATACTTTTTGAACTTCCTTTCACAATTTGATTCAGGGTGCTTACGTTTCCGGCCTTTTTTCGGTCTTCCAGCCTCAAAACTGCATCGTATTATTACTTGATCATTGTTTTCAATAATGTTGAAAAGTTCAAGTTAATATATATAAAAATTGTATATCCATATTATAGGAAATAAATTAAAAAGCACTGACATAAACAAAGAGCTTTTAATTTTTTTTTAATGACACTAGCCATAAACAATTCGCATTAATCATTAATCTTAATATATATAGAAAATAATATAAAAAATATAATCTATATATATTAAAAACACATACTTTTTTAATAAACACAAGCCAAGATAATGTAATCTACATTAAACATAAAATTAACATAACAGTTAATTAAAAAAAAAAAAGCAAAATAACATTATCAAAAATACACAGGAATAATGATTTAAAAAAGACATTGAAATATCTTTATCTAAATTAAAGACAGAAATAACATAAAGCTTACACGGCACGAGGATCCCTATTCTCGATATCCTCATCGTCGTCCAGACAGATGAGGGCTTCTAAATCCTCGCGTGGTGTTGTAGGTAATATTCCACGTCCAGCGGTGACACCACGTCCAGCGATGACACCACGATACGATGCGCGCCCTCCGCGGAAAGACATCGCACGACCGCCCCTCGAATAAACAGGAGGTGGTGAACGAGATATAGCATACATATCCTGTTGCTGTGACAAAGACATGAGATCGTCGTCGTCTTCAAAACTAAGTGAAGCCAACCTAAAAAAAAAAACAAAATAACCTTTACAACCGTCCTTATAGTCCGGTCAAATTAGCTCCATAAATAGGGGTAAAGCTACATTAATTCGCACCCAGCTAAAAATTGGCATGAATATTGGGGGCCCTATTACACACAATTTGTCAATTATCCACATCAATCCAACGTGTGCAAAAAAATTTAATCAAGGTCAAACGTTGCAAAAATCGGTTTTTTGAGTTTTCCAGCTAAACGGTGAGTTTTATTATGAAAATAGGTGAGACAAAAATTATTCATTATCCAATTATCTGTAAAAATTGTTTATACACTTTTTTTCCTAAGAATCACCATTTCGGAGATATAGCGATGCAAAAGGTTGAAAAAGTTGTATTACTCATAATATGCACACGTTTCCGCGCCACCCGTGAGGTAGTGTACATGGCGCGTTTTTTTTCACGTGGTTTCCCCAGTAGGCCTACTCCACGATCTATTGTGGTTCTGTTGAGTTAAAAGCTATTGTATTAAATAGAAAATAGTACTATTGTAATGACAAGAGCGGTGTAAGTAATGAGTAATTTTAGAAAATTATTTGTCTGATTGATACTCTTCTAATGGAACATAATCCATACTGTCTTGTTCTTCTTCTTCTTCCTGCTGGGTACAAATAAATTGTTCAAAGAGCGCTGCATCAGATGTCTCCTCGCATATATCGTAAGAATCCTCTTCTTCTGGTGATTGAATATTGGAGCACGATTGGCCTCGACAACTGATACATGCTAATGAACAAAACAACCCAACTTTTTTACAGCCGCATTTAGCATTACACCCCGTTTTGCAATTGCAAAAAATTGAATTGAGGAGTTTTTCCGGTGCAGGAGGGAGTAAAGTCTTGACTGGTTCCAATATATTGTCAATTAACTTCCAACCCCAGTCTTCTGGGTTTAGTTTATTACCGAGCCATACTTGAACTTGATAATATACTCGAAATAGATGTTGCTGAGCAGAAGCAGAGGTTGGAGGAAGACAAGCTAGTTGTACTTGTTTTTTTTTTATGCGTATTTTTAGCAAAACATAAGTATCGAAACTTATCTAAGCACGTAATTTTTTTTGGAGCTCCGTAAATGGAAAGAAGAAAGCGAATTCCGTTGGTGATTACAGCTTGTGGAGTAGAGGTACTTTCTTTGAAAACGTCAGCACAATCAACTAAATCTTGTCTCTCAAACAATTTCAAAACTGTTCTTTTACCTCTCCTGAAAAATGCTGATGTCGTGTCGCAACCAGTTACTGCATGTAGAAATAAGATATGATTTTGGCATTTTGAAAAAGCACATAAACTCTTGGATGAATATATTTTTGATTGTTGTTGAGCCTTCCCAGGTGTTAAAAAATAAATAATTTCTTCGGTTGGCGTTCGAGCAGTGAGCAATACCAACAAATCAACATCTTCACCAACAACGATAGTTGGATTTGTCGAAGTAAATTGTTCTATTGCTGTTTCAACTATCAGTACATCAGCATCATTATCAGCTTGCTTTACAGGAATATTTTCAGATGTACATTTTTCTTTCAACATTGAAATGAACCGAGACTTGTTGTGTGTATTTGCGAGAAATTTCTGTTGGCTTGTGGTAACTGTCATGAATCCATCAAAAATGACGTCCGAAGATGAAGATGTTGTTGTAGCTCGACGACGTTGTTCTGCAGCTTTAATATTTTTTGTGCAATCAGTATAACCATCAAATACTACAGTCACTCTATGGCCAAAATGTCTATGTACATACCGCACGTATTTATCTAAAATATGGTTAAATGTTTCTTCGGGATCCCACACTACACGGTGTAATAGATATCCTCCGTCGATTATGTACGTAGCATTTATGTTGTCAATATCTATGTTTACTGTTTCAAAACAATCGTAAATGGCTGACTTTTGTGATTTACGCATTCCACCATCATCGAACAGTGATAACGGATACGGAGCCAATTCATATTCGAAATATTTCTCAATTTCATCTTCGAAAGCGCTAGTGATACTCATACGTTGAAATAATAATACAGGGTCGATAGGAACTTTCTCATCGTGAACTTTTACGGTGCTACTCATAGCTAAGAGAGGTACTACTTTATCAGCGCGTTTTAATTTTATATTATTAAACGTCATTCCTGTCATTTTGGACATGGCGGCAATTCCAACTTCACGAGCTTTGTGACAGTTAATTTTATCATCACCAACGACTCCATTGGCAATAGATACAATTTTGTTAACTTCCGGAAACGGATCATGCAGTGAAAACCACTGCAGAAGGTTTTGTATGTCTTTAGAATCTTTCTTTACTCGTGAATCACTTGCATCTACATGCTGATCCGTTGTATCCATTCTAACATCAGCGAGATCTTCCAATCCTTCACAAACAGTATTCATTGCATGCATACCATAAACCCATTTACTTATTACACTGTCTTTTGTACTTCTCCCTCGAGCAATACCTCCATCTGTCTTCATAGCTTTCATCATTGACTGCTCGATCACCATATCTGTTGAAGTTCCGCAACTTAATTTATCTGAACGTCGAACAGTAAAACATCCTTCTGTAAACTGTTTGTAAACACTAGGATTCATATAGTTTTCTAATTGTAACATATCTTGTAAATATAAGGCCCTTCGTACACAGGGCTACGCAAATCTTGGATACTAATGTTGTATACTACATTAGTATCTTGTCGCGAGTATCGAGTAGCGCATGGTCCGTACACACGACATTGAATCGCAAGACGTGAATTGCCTATTCAGCCACTGCAGACGTAGCGGCTAAACAGATTTCACATTTACAAAATGTCTGACACAAGTGATGATGAAACTATAATTTTGTACTATCTTTACCGGAAACAAAGAAATCGTCGTAACAGAAGATACTGGGTACATCCGTACATAGAAAAAAACATAAATTGCAGAGTGTTTGTAGCTGCAAAAGAATTACAACAAACAGATGCAAAATTCTTATCATTCTACAGAATGTCTAAAGAGAGTTATAGACATTTAGTGAATTTACTTGTTCCACATATACACCAGAGAGACACGCACATGAGAGAGTGTGTGAGCGCAGAGGAAAGGGTTTTAATAACAATCAGGTAATGTACAATTTGTTTTATTAAAAATCAAGAAAAAAGTAACAGTTCAAAGATTAAAGTAATACTGCTTTTATAAAATTTGCACAAAATATCAACTTTATCATTAATTCTGGGTATAATTTACTTCACCCATAGTGTTTTGGAGTAGATGAATATATGTAGTTTCATTTAGTCCATCGTTGGTTGTACATTGGATCATATTATTATTGGGCATTTCTATCCCAGTTGTTATCTGCGAGGATGATGCACTTGAAGTATTTGGTATATGTAGTAAGACCGGTGTTTGTGTTGGTGAGGTGTGAGGTACATTCAGTATGTTATCTATCACATCTATAACTTGACGTTTAAATGATCTTATTTGTGTCGATGTCATACAATTCAAGTCTGGCAGCAAACTTAACAAAAACATCTTGTTAGCGTTATTATTTGTCGACTCATTATTAACATCATTCTGCTTGCTTAATTTCGTTTTTAAATAATCATTGAAAAGTTTATCATTCTCACTTATTTTATTCTTACGACGCTGACGCTGAGAGGAGATTGATAGCGGGGTTGAAGTACGATCAGTTTGATGACTGGAGGATGCAGTAGGTGATGTCGGGGGCGGTGGTGATACGGAAGGCGGTGGTGATGCTAAGGGCGGTGGTGATATTGGGGGCGGTGTGGATGCTTGTGGTTCATCGTCTTGATTATTCAAATTAGGTAAACTGCCTGATGGAATTCCAGCTGATTTTATATAAGGAAGAGCAAACTGCATTGCATCTGTCAAATAGTATTTCTTTTTTTTTGATGATCCACTAGCCGGAGGTTTTAAGTTTCGCACGAAAACAGAACGGAGGTTTTTCCATTTTTCTTTCGCTTGCAGTCCTGAAAGTAAAAAACCTGGCAATCAACTGTTAATATTAAGTTCACTATTGGAATAATATCATGTAGAAAGTGTAAAGAAATAATATTAACATTATTTTAGGTATTTGGCAACTGGCGAAACATTCACATCGATTTCTTTATATTTCGCTCGAGGGGACTCTACAGTATCAAGAATAGTCGCAGAAACAACAGCAATCATATGGGATGCCTTGAAAGATACTTATATGCCAACACCGGATGAAAATCAATGGAAAATAATAGCACATCGTTTTGATTTGTTATGGAATTTACCCAATTGTTTGGGTGCTTTAGATGGAAAGCACATAAGAATAGAAAAGCTACCAAACTCAGGATCGCTTAACTTTAACTACAAGTCATATCATTCAATTGTTCTTATGGCATGCAGTGACGCTGATGGACTCTTTACATACATCGAAACAGGATTTGCTGGCAGGAACAGTGATGGCGGTATATTTCGTGCTTCAGCAATCAAACATTTCATTGAAGGGGGCAATCTTAACCTTCCTGCTCCTTTACGACTACCAAATGATGACAACAATTACAAATTTCCATTTTACTTTGTAGGAGATGAAGCGTTTCCGCTGTTACATTATTTGTTAAGACCTTATCCACAAAGAGTACTTGATAATGCGAAAAGAATATTTAACTATAGATTGAGTAGAGGAAGGAAGACGGTAGAATGCGCGTTTGGAATGATGACGGAGAAATTTCAGGTTCTAAGTACTGCGATTAGATGCCACGACTATATAAAGATAAATAATATCGTAAAATCTGTATGCATTTTACACAACTATGTTAGGAAAAGAGAAGGGATTCCATATAGTGCATATGAAGAAAATTCCAATAGCATACATGACGTCATCATACAACCTCAGCAAATTCAATTGAATGCGCACTCTTCGCCGAATACGTTAAGAAACTATTTAGCTAATTACTTTTTGAAACCTCAGGTAGCACTCCCATGGCAATATAATTATATTGTATAAATTTTAGTCAGTATAAATAAAGTAATTATGTAAACGCGAAGAAATATTTCTCATTTCTCATACTCGGAAAGTAGTGTACCTATCCAAGTATCGATGCTTCATCCCACACGCGGGTCGGAATGTTTCATTCAAATTCATTCACAACCAAGGGCCGGAATGAATTTCAAAAATAGAACTAAATTTTCTTAAGAATTCAGCTATCATTAATTTAGATTTTTATAGATCATACTAATATTATAAATGAGAAAGTTACGATGTTTGTATGTTTGTGAGTTTGTTCCTCAATCACGCAAAATCTATTGGACGGATTTCGATGAACTTTTGGTACACGGGTAGAAAAATACCGGGAATAACACATAGGATACTTTTTATCCCGGAATTCCCACGGGAGCGAAGCCCCGGGGCGCAGCTAGTATTTTATATTTGATGTCAAGTTAAAATAAATAAGGTTTAGTTTCTTTTTAGATTATAAAGAAGAAAATACAGCGGTGTTGTAAATGTCTAAACAGCCAATGCTGATTAAAAAAAATACCTAAAGCAAGGTGACGCCCGCAGCGGTGACACTACAGCGCCTGGTCACACCTCGGACACTCGCGATCAAATGTTTGAAACAAACGCGTTCCTGCGCACACAGTCTATTACAAAAGTATTTGTGAATTATATTTGATGTGGCCTCCGCTCTGGGCTCCGCGTCGTCACGTCCTTACCTGCCGATACCTGTGAGGTACCCGAGAGCGGGTGGGCGGCACTTTCAACGGGAGGCAGGGAGTGTCCATACTGTACGCTAGTACTCTTTATTATACTGAGGACTGGTGATTCCATATATAAAATTTTATAAATACTATTTATTGTGCTTTGCTATATCGAAATCCAAAATGTTATTGCCAGAACTATTTTAGAAAACATTTTTTTTTACTTATATATCTCCTTATATCGTCCTCCCTTATATTCGAAATGAAAAGTAGAGTGTTTACCACGTGTGAATGACATCAATTTCATACTCGGATTATAGTCTAAACACCTCGTATAGGAATTGATATTTTTCCTTTTTTACTATTATTTAAAACAACAACAGCGACGTTGGGATACGATTTTACCATGATCCTAGAACACAACAACAACACCGGCTAACCAGCAAGTTACAACAACATCAGCTATCATAATTAAATGTGTATACAAAATGTAAATACTATGAGCGTAAAATATAAAAGCATAATAATGAAAAAAAAAAATAGGTTCTACCAAAAAGTGCTACCTACTATACTTTACTATATTCCTGACTATTACAAAAAGATACCAACCTGTTAAATTAACGGCATTTCCTACTGCTACCCAACTTTTTTCCGTTATGTATTTTTTAGAATACTCCTTCAAGTTATAATTATATAAACAAGGATGTTTTTCCACCTCAGAAACAAATTTAATATTTAATAATTGCTCCGCCATCTTGAATGTCTCTGCGACTAATGTGGCGAAGATCTTGTCCGGGCGGTAGCGCGCGACTGGCGCGACGCGAGTCGCGGGACGAATGTCGGCGACGCGACTAGTGTACGAACCTCAATGAATTTGTATGGCGGTAGTCGCTTGGAGACTAAAATCGTCAAGTATCGAAGATTTGCGTAGCGTTGTGTACGAAGGGCCTAAGTGTGCAGACTTAGCATAAGGAAAATGTCCCGATGCGTGGAAGTAAGGAAGCATTTCTTTAACGCTGTTCAAATGAGCTTGCCAATCTCCCATGCGCTCAGCCCTTATAAACTCCTTCACAATTGATACCATATAAAAATATCGAATCCAAAGTTTTGCGGTAGGTCCACGTTCTTCATATTCTCTTAGCTTTTCATTGAACTGATCGAGTAATGCTCCAGATATTTCGTCATCATTTTCAACATCATTATATGAAATAGTGTTGTCTATTATGTTTTCAGCAGTAATGATAAGATTAGCGTCCGTGACGTCATCAATATCAAGCTCTTTCAATATTATTATTGCTAAAGTTAACTGAAGTAATGTATGAGCTCGAACAGCTCTCGCATAGGCATGACCATTGAGCATTTTTTCTAATGACCCAGGTGCATAAATCAAAGAAAGTATTTCTTTTATACCGCTTCCTTGCATAATGTAACCAATTGCACCGAGAAACGACATGAGCAGATGAAATCCTCCAAGCCTAATTATGATCTTCGATAATTCAGACCCTTCAGGTGCGGCTGATACGATTTCTCGAGCTTTTGCATACAGAGGCTGATCAAAAGTAACAATGCATACATCATGACCATAGCGTTTTGCATTTTGTAATGCACAAAGTAAAGTCGTGTATATACACACATCAAAAGTGTCTAGGGATCAACATATATTTTTGCAATAACTTTTCTCCTGATTGATATTAATTAAAATTTTCTTTAAGGATTCATCAAATAAAGTGTTTTCGTTTGTCACAGTAACGATAAACCAAGTCACCTTTGCATTAATAAAGAAATTTGCCATTTTCCTAATAAAGGGATTTTTGACATTTGAACCACTAACACAAAAGTTCGAAAAAAAGACTGAAATAACAGTTTTCTCTAAAATTTTATTGGGTAACTTAAACAATTAATAATCCGTATTTCTACCGCGAACACTAACAACACAAGAACATCGGTTTGGCATACTCAAAATGAGTTCATCCAAATCACGCTGTGGAATGGCCGCCCATGTTCGTTGCAACAACAAAAAAAGGTCTTCTTGCGACTGGATACCCTCCATATTCGGCAGAGCTCTTCTCTGTAGCATATCCCATGCATGCTCAATCGGGTTCAAGTCTGGCGACTGAGCAGGCCAGGGCAGGACATTGATGTTAGCTGCGGCGAGAGTCTGTCTTACAACTCTTGCGGTGTGCGGTCGTGCATTATCATGCATTAACTGAAATAAGGGACCGATTTGCACTTGTAGAGGAACGATGACGTCTGATACAATCGTCTCAGCATAAATTTGAGCGTTGAGGTTGCCTCTGATCCAAATCAACTCAGTTCTTCCGCCGATCCAAATACCCGCCCATACCATGATGGTTCCACCACTATAAGGATGGACTTCCTGGCAGGATTTTAATCGCTGTTGGCGTCCAGGGGTTCTCCAGTGTCGTATACGTCTTGTATCCGGTCTCATACCAAAACAAGACTCATCAGAAAAGCACACGAAACGCCATTGTTCTTCTGCCCAATTACAGAAATTGGAACAATGGCGTTTCGTGTCGTCTGTGTTCAAGAGCCCATTGATATCGAATCCTACGATTGTGCATTGCTATAGGTGGTACCCGAAGCGGTCTTCGGGAATGAAGGTTCACTTCATGCAAGCGGTTTCTGACTGTTTGGTCGCTAATTAAGTTCCCTGAAGAGTGATGAAGCCTCACGGCTAACATCATGGCGGTTATTGTTGGAGCTCTTCGAGTTAAGATTTGAATGTATCGGTCTTGTCTCCGTGTGGTGCAGCGATACCGTCCTCCATGGCGCTCAGCCACGGTACCAGTGCTTCGGTATCGTGTCCAAAGTCGACTGATAACACTCTGACTTGTATTCAGAGCTAAAGCCACAGTACGTTGCCGGGAACCAGCTTCTATCATTCCCACGGCTCTGAGCATTTCTTCCCTGCTTAAATGACGTCGCCGCTCCATAATAACGTTGGTTTTAATCAGTAGTAGGGAAACAGTAGCACTAATAATGTCTTCAATGCGTTGTATGTTTTTATAGGGAAAATATTGACAGCTGATTTTCATCTTTTACTCGAATTTGATTCACAGTTCCTGATTCAAATTATGAAATGCACCAAAAAGGATCCATATAAATTTATAAAATCATAAATTTATTACAAAGCCACATCTCAATCTCAAGAAATCCGCATAAAAATGCTTGATCCCTAGACACTTTTGATGTGTGTAGTATTGTAATTACTAGCCGGTTGGTGAATAAATGGTAAAAATAAAATTTTAGATGTTGAAAAATTCTTAAGATTCTTTGTTAATTGTTCAATAAAACCATTCCAACCGGGTATTGAAAAATTCTTCCATTTACCATAGAACCATATCGCATCGACTTTTCTAAGTAAAGATACTATTACTTCACTATCATAAGCAAAATCTTGGACAATTATTTTACTATAACCTACTACACCATCATTTTGGTAGATCTGCAGTGGCACATGGGCTATTGCCGCGAAATCTGTTGCTGAAGGAGCTTCTTTTATCCGTTGTATCGGCTCTTCTAGTAAAACTGAACTTTTTGGAGTAACAACTTGAATGATACCCATTATGTGAAGCGTGTTATGACCGTCCAGCGTATTTACATTTATATCAGCATTGTCTGCAACATACTGAATGAATGTGCCAGTTTCTGGTGGTAAAATGTGAGGTGGACGGTGAAAAATTGCTGCTGCCTCGTACAATATAGTATCATTATAAGATGCGCACAAACCGAATGACGAAAAAATTTGTATGAGACGTTTTGATCCAAATCGCCGATGAAAAAAAATAGAGAGACCCAATTGTAATTTTGATTTAAAAGACCTTGGCCGAACAGCAGCCATAATACTATGGCTAATATTTGTGCATACTAATTTCAAATGTTCTAAATTACATCGCTTTTTCTTCAGGATAACTTTCTCCAAAAAATAAGTCACTGACTCTGGAATTTGAGTGTTAATATCTTCAAATATGCGACCTGGCGGGGGGTAATGAGAATTATCAAATACTGCAGATTGAATATCTTCTCGAATGATTGCTGCCGCAGCCTTCAGGATTCTAAATCGCTCTTCTTTTTCATTTGTTTTTTTTTTTCGTAGCTACCTCGATTTAAAATATCATAGTGATTATCAACAAAACATATAAATGTTGATGCTCCTGACTTTTCTGTTATAATAATTTTATCGCCATACTTCAACTTTAATCGTAATTTAATGGTTCTATTATCTAACGAATTTTTGCAAATATTTTGTAATTCGTCTAGTGTAAATTGACAATCATCACTATTTTCGATGTGTGCAAATATTTCTTCCATTGCAAGATTTGTAGTTTCAGATTGAGGACGACCGGCTTGACCTCCCGTAGTCGGTCTCAAGAAGGCATTATGACAGTCTTTATGATATTTAGCTTCGGCAGCAACTAAATCATGTTCAAACTCAATTCGAGTAATAACAGCTTTTGCTAAACTATCAGAACGAGTCTGGGCTATATTCAGGATTGTTTCTTTGAATGAAAGTGTTGAGACATGGAAAATTTTACGCCGATACTTCAGTGCTTTTTTGTTTTCTAACTCTTCATTCAATTCATTGCCACAAAATAAGCAACACTTTTTAAAACAAAAAAATGATTCACTTACGCGTGCTCTAGTGCGAGGTGGACTTATTTTCGATGTACCAGCTTGTTCTTCTTCCTGCTTTCTTTTAAACGCAGCAATTGTACCCTTCCGAGTATAGTTTTTTCGACACTGCACATGAACTGTCACAGAAGTCTGGTCTTTCAGGTATTCAGAAAATTCATCACCTCTTTCAACACTTGCATCAATTAACGTCTTTAGGCCACGATCAACAGTAACTGTTTCGCCTTCGGCCAAATGTTTGTTACAAATGAAGCAAAATTGCGACATTTCTATCACAAACACAAAACTGCACTAACTACGTGCTCGTACTACGAAGGAATGCTTAAGACTAATACTATTCTATCTAGTTAGGCCCTTGAAAAAGGAGCAGGTATACGATCGTCGCCACGCGGACAATTGAATAGTAGGCATGTCGATTCATTTAAAAAAACATCGATCTTGGAATCGATTCAAATCAGACATACTAGAATCGATTCTTGTTTAAATCGAGCATTAAAAGATCGATTTTCGATTAATCGAGCCAATTTCAAACATGACTAATTGCCTAATAAAGATACAGGACATTATTGATGACCATTTACTGCAAATACAAGTAATTGGATAGAAGTATTATTAAATTAGTAAACATAATATCACGCCTATATTCCTTCGAAAGAATAGGTAGAGGTGGGAATCGAACCCAGGATCTTTTGCTCAGCAGTAGTGCTTGCGAAGTTGCGACCACTAAATTAATGTGGCAGTTTAAATTTCTAGTCTCGCCTAAGTACTTGTAAGTCGGTTAATAAATTAATTAAATTTTAAGTTTATAAAATTTTATTAAAGTTACATACAAATTTAACAAGAAATTATATTTCCCAGTATTTTAAGTCGAGTGACTTTAAGAAAATTAACTTATCTAATCGCTCAGGATCTAAACGACTCCTTTCGTCAGTAGCAATATTTCCCGCAACAGAAAAAAGCCTTTCACATGGAACAGATGTTCCAACTATGCAAAAGTATTTGTTAGCAATCGGCGTTATTGAGCTGTACAACGAATTTCTTTGGTGACACCAATATGCAATAGGAGCCGTCGTTTTAAAATCGACGACAGGCTGTGTTAAATAATGTTTCAATTCGTCTTGTAAACCTTGTCCTTCAGTTTCTGCTTGAAATAATTGTAGCTGATTTTTTACTAATGTATTATGGAATTCCCAAATGTTAGATTCTTCTGCTTCCTTCAGCTGGCATTCCAAATTATTCTCTGAATCTTCATTACTTAATTTATTCTGCAATTGCTTTTTTGAAGCTACAATCATACTATTAATTTTATCAATAGCTCTGGAGCATGCTAATCTGTCAGAAAAATGAATTTTCTTGAATCTTGGATCCAGTAGTGTGGTGATAGCTAACACATGTACTTGTTCCACTGTACCAAATCTCTTTTTTAATTCTTCCAATATTAAATTTTTGGTTGCAGCACCGACATCTGTTTCCGTCTTCATTGTACTGTATGTTTTCAAAAGACAGGAAACTATTGGTATAATTTTGCTTGACGTTACAAATTTCTCTACGGATATTTCTTTCGTCACAGCTTCCATAGGTTTTAAAATATTTATAAGATCTTTAATACCATCCAGTTGACTGGCTGTTAACATAGGTGGAGCTTTCGGGTAATTGAGTAATATCGGGGCAAGTAGCTCAGATAACTTTACAAACCGAACTAGCTGATAGTAAATTGAATTCCATCGTGTGCAAACTGACTGAATCAATTTGAGTGGTACTGCTATTTCATTTTGCGCTTTACGAAGAGCATCAGATACATTTACATTTTGTTTACAGTATCTAGTTATATCCTTTACAGTATTTAGTAACTGTTTGGCATTTTCAATACCAGCTTTTTCTTCAAAAGGTTTTTGAGCTACTAAATTCAAAGTGTGGGCGAAACACCATAAGTGTTTTTGTTTTCCAAATGCAATTGTTACGGCCTTGACGATATTCGCACCATTATCAGTAACAACTGCTGCAACTTTTTCTGGGGTTATACCCCATTTTTCAGTCATTTTTATTAATATTTGACATAAATAATCAGAATTATGGGGCTCAGTTAAATGGGACACACCAAAATTTATACTAATCAGCTCACTTTCATGTATAAAATGTCCAGTTAAACCCATGTAGCTTCTAGTATTATGTGTATCTGTCCATATATCCGTAGTTAAACATATTGACTCTACTTCTAAGAGCTTTTCTCTAAATTGCAAAGAAAGAACATCATATTTGTCATCTATCATTTGTGTAATTGTCTGCCGTGAAGGAAGCTTATATAAAGGCACTGCTGTTTTCATTAAGTATGTGAAACCTTCTTTTTCAACTGTATTTAATGGCAACGTATCCTTGCAAATCATTAACATGATAGCATTATTTAGTTGTCCATACTTCTTTCCGTTTACTGGAAAAAAAATCAAAAATATACATTATCACCGCTCATAAATATACCATGACCATAATCAGCAAAGTAGGTAATTCATTACATGGATAACAAAAATTCTCACCACTAAATGCTTTAATATTATCAACACATGAATCCATAGTTAGCTGATTAAGTTTTGAGTTTTTCAGTGATACTGATGATGAAGCTATACTTTCTAAGTCAGAATCATAGTACTCTTTTGAACTGGTTAAACTCAAAGCATCATTTATGCCAAATTTTTCCTTTGATGTCGACGTAGTAGCAATATCTTCATTTGTCTGAAAAGGATTATGTTTTTGTATTCTATTATTATTTCAAATTACAAAATAAATACAATAAAAGGATAAAAAATGCAAGAATATACAATTTCCAAACAAGCATGCATTAATAAAAAAGGAATAATTATGTTGTATTGTAAGGAAAAGGTACGGGTACACACTCCAGTTTTTTTTTTGTCGTCACCAATACCAATATCATCATTTGCCACCACCAGTTTTCGTTGACTTACGGACTTAATAGATGGATGTCTTCGTAGTAAATGGTTGCGTAAGTTTGTTGTATTCCCGCATGTTTTAACTTCGATATGACAATACTTGCATACGCCACTTGATCCCTTTTTTACAAAATGATACCATGTATCACTTTTAGTTGACATTTTAGGCTAAAAAGAATAACAATACTTTAACAAAAATGCAAACTGCAACGCAAACGCACATTTCTCGATAAATTGATTACAATCAATCTAATCACTTACTATTTTTCAAATTAAAATAAATGCTGTATGAATTTATGAATGAACACGATATTATTTATCCACAGTATATTTTTGCTATGTAAGCTCACTCAACTCACAAGATTATATAGGTTAGGTTTTTGACAGCCGGAATCAGCCGGATAGAAAAATAAAATGTTTTTTTTTTTTTTTTTTTTACGTAAGTAACGCCACCTTTGGAAGCGTTCATAAATATTTATTACTCTATGACGCGTTCAAATTATTGACCAAGTACTACCAGTTGCTTTTGCGCCCGACAACAGCAAAAAATTAAAAAAACTACCGTCCGATTCGGAGGGTCCGATTTGGGAGGTTTGTGAATCGATTCATTAAATCGACGTAGGGTTCAAAATCGATCTGAAAAATCAATTATATTACTCTAAATAATCGATTTTTCGATTAATCGATTTTAAATCGACATGCCTATTGAATAGCAGACAGATGTTGCTCAAGGCCGTACAGTCATATAAAATGAGGGACTGGGTTCTTTTTCGAGTTCCTATTCTTACAACTGTATAGTATGTATGTATACGCCACGAAAACTAATATTTTTACTTATATTAACGTTCTGTAACGTTTAAAACGATAATTGACATACATATTATGAGTAACACAACTTTTTCAACCTTTTGCATCGCTATATCTCCGAAATGGTGATTCTTAGGAAAAAAAGTGTATAAACAATTTTTACAGATAATTGGATAATGAATAATTTTTGTCTAACCTATTTTCATAATAAAACTCACCGTTTAGCTGGAAAACTCAAAAAACCGATTTTTGCAACGTTTGACCTTGATTAAATTTTTTTGCACACGTTGGATTGATGTGGATAATTGACAAATTGTGTGTAATAGGGCCCCCAATATTCATGCCAATTTTTAGCTGGGTGCGAATTAATGTAACCTTGAGTGTCTATTTTGACCGGACTATTACTGGTTCAACGACTCACGTAAAAATCACACACAATAATGAATTAATACGCAATTTATAATCGAAATGAAAAAAAAAAACAAACACAATAACACCAATTAAATGACCACCGAAGTACCACAGCCGAAGTATCGAAAAAAAATGATTTATTCAAGAATAAAAATTACAATATTACTTATTACTAATTAAACTATTGACCCTATCGATGCTTGAATAGAAGTGGCTGAGTCGATGCCTGCAGTCCGGCGCCCCCTGACGGTGACACGTTCCGTCGGTTGTTTGTTGAAATTAAATTAGGGACAGCTCTTCGTCAGCGTTTCCGGTAGTGAGTGACGGCGTAACACACTTAATTAAGAGTAAATAAGATAACATTTATCTACAACAAACGCAACGGGAGAAAAAACTCATTAACAACAACTATTATTATGATAACGACCGGCTTATCAAGAAACGAACAAAAATAGACATAAAAAAATACGTCAAACTTACACCGTCCTTACTTGTGCAAGTTAGGTAGATATAGGTAGGTATACTGACCGCAACTAGTCATCAGCCGGCTTATCAAAAAAAAACAGATGGCGCGTGTTCGCGCGTCCTTCCACCGTCCTTACTTACTTATCAAACAGATGGCGCGTGTGTGTGTGTGTGTGTGTGTGCGTGTGTGCGCCCGTCTTTCCACCTTCCTTACTGGTACAAGGTAGGTAGGTGTGTAGGTGCCGGTGGTACGTGTGTGTGTGGATGCCTTCCACTGTCCTTACTGGTGCAAGTTAGGTAGGTAGTTAGGTAGGTATCGCCCGCAGGGCGTCGGGCCCGGGATGCGCGCTGGGCGCGCGTAGTGGTGGTGGTGGAAAAAAAAGTGGTGGAGAGGTTGTGCAGAGAGGAGTTGTGGTGGGTGGTGGTGGTGCGGTGTGGGGCGCGGTAAGAAAGTTGGGCCGACACTTAAGGGGTTAACCGCTCGAGTGATGAGGGGCCGAGAGTCGGTCGCGGGGCGGCCAGCTAGGGGTTAGGTTAGCCAGCCACCCCTTCATTCTTTAACTTCATTTGATCTTTCAAGTTCCTTTTCAGGTGAGATGTTTCCTATTTCCTGAACTTCAATGACAGGACTTAAAATTTCACCATGCTTATCTGAGATAGCTTTTTGAGGAGTAGGCATATTAGTTTCATCGTCATCTTGTGTTATAGTGTCATGTCTTGTATCATTTTCTACATTCACAATTGTTGAATTCAATACCCTTTTCTTGCTGCATTCTTCACTAATTGTTACGAAGCTCACAATTTGTTCATCTCTTGTATTGTTATTGTTTTTAGTGTTATTGTCGTCGCCAATACTATTTATTTATTATTTATTTATTTATATATTCTGTACACACAAAAATAATAGAGGAGCAACTTAATTAAAGATAACATGTACAAGGGCACAACTTATTTCAATCAGAAATTTCTTACAGTCGGCCCGTAGAAGGAAAGAAAATAGGTAAAGGTAGTCAGCGTGTATACCGGAATATAAATACATGTTAATACCAATAAATATGGGGTTTACTATAGGTTTATATATACAAGTACTTAAATAATGAATAAATACATACACATACGAATATAAAATTAATGACAATAGATATATAAATACATACATACATATAATATATACGACGAGAAGAGAAACAATGAGAAGATCAAGGGCAGAATTAAGGGCAAGAAGATAAATAGTGTTCCTTCAGATGTTTTTTGAACACTGAGACAGAACTAGTCTCTAATTTCTGCTGGCAGCGAATTCCACAGACGGACGGCATGTACTGAGAAGGAATAGGATGCGAAACTAGTGTTATGGGTGGGACATTTTAGAAGGGATTTGAGGTGGGATCTGCAAGGATCTGTTGAAGGGTGCATGAAGGAAAACCGTTCACGGAGGTAAGGTGGATATTGTGGATTATAGAGGATGTTGAAAAGGAGACAAAGGATTCTAACATTCCTGCGCAGACGAATGGGAAGCCACTTGAGTTCCTTACGAAAATTAGAAACATCATACAGTTCATACTTGCGTAGACCAAAGATGAAGCGGATAGCGAGGTTCTGCAGGCGCTCAAGTTTGTTCAGTAAGGTCTCTGTGGCATCTAAGAAGCAAGCATCGGCATAATCGAGAAGCGGCAAAATGAGTGATTGAGCGAGTGAAATTTTGGAATACAATGGCAAAAAATATTTAAGGCATTTAAGGGAATGTATCGTGTAGTAAATTTTCTGGCTGACGTTAGCGACATGGGCCGTCCAGGACAGATTGGAGTCCATTGTGACACCAAGATTTTTAATATTGTCACTGTATGGAATGTCGATTCCATCAAATGACAATGATGGCAAGTGAGGAATATTTGCAGCGCTACACATGTACCTGCTCCCTATGATTATGGCCTGCGATTTACTGGGGTTCACAAGGAGACCGTAGGACTTTGCCCAAGTTCTGATGCGGCAAAGATCATCATTCATGGCCGTTAATGATAAATCCACTTCGTCGATATTAATATGACGATAAAGCTGCAAGTCGTCTGCGAAGAGATGAAAGTTGGAGAGAATAACTCTGGTAACTGAGTTGATGAAACATGAAAATAGGAGTGGCGAGAGAACACCGCCCTGGGGTACGCCCGCAATAAGTTCGCACCAATCAGAGACAGAGTCGTCTAGGCGGACACGCTGCGAGCGGCCCCGAAGGTAAGAATCGAACCAGGATAGAGAAGAAGAAGAGACATTTAAAGAGTGAATCGCATCGCAAGTAGGATGTCAAAATGGACAGAAGTAAAAGCACTGCTAAAATCCAGTAAAACTAGAGCAGTAAGTTTTTTGTTATCCATAGCCCAGCGTATGTCGTCAGTGATGTTAAGCAAAGCGGTGACGGTGCTGTGGCCAGAGCGAAAACCAGATTGGTAGCGATTTAGCAAATTATTAGCTTGGATGAAAGATGACAGTTGCTTAAGCTATGTGCTCGAGAACTTTGGAAAGAAAGGGTAGAATGGAGATAGGACGAAAATGGCAAGGCAAGGATGGGTTAGATGTTTTAGGTTGAAAATAGCATGGTTCTTAAAATCAATAATAATCTAATAAAATCGAAACATGAAGTCGCAGATATTTTCGATAAATTCTTTATGAATATACCATTAGAAACTACTTCCAACTTGGACTCATCGACTGATACTGCCACAGCTCTGTTACAAAAATATGTACCTCCGTGTGGTTTATTATTTAATTTCAAGCACGTTAGTTCTTTTAAAATAATTAAAGTTTTCCATTCTTTAAAAATGAAAAATGCATCTGATGTTACTATACTGTAAAAGATTTCATAAATGATAAGTCACCTTGGGCTTAACATAATAGACTGTCGTTTTACTTTGCTAATTTGGTTGAAAATTGTTTAATCGCCACTTCTAAATTTACAAATAGTACCTAGCTATACTTAACTTTTGTTAATTAATAATATTATTGTGATGGAAGTTGACATCAACACATGTATTCAAATTTTGATGTCATCTTTCAATTGACGACACTGTATGAAACAAAACAAGGAGAAAAAAATAGCCCTTGCTGAGTTTCTTGCCGGTTCTTCTCAGTACAAGGTCTCCCGCCGTAGATTTACGAACCGATGGCGTAGCGTTTGACTTTCACAAGAGCTTGTAACAGCCTAGACTGAATAAATGAGTTTGAATTTGAATTTAGGCAGAGGAATAATATGTGCCATTTTCCAGATTTTAGGAAAAGAATTGGATGAGAGGGAGAAGTTAAAGATATGAGTAAGTATAGGTAGAAGAGTAGATAGAATGGGAGTAAACATTCTCGAGCACAATTGATCCTCACCGACTGACTCTGAAGAAATGGCCAATAGTGAGTGTGGCAGCTAATACATTGACGTCTATACAAACAGGAGGGAGGGAGAAATGCTTGTTTAGTGCATTTAGGTCAGTACCTGTAGAAACAGTTGAAGCCGGTTTACCCACACCCACAGAACGCAGAAATCGCCAGGTATCTGCTGGATTGCGGTTTGACAAAGAATCATGAAAGTATCGTCTCTTGGCGTCTCGACACATGCGACTGCAGCGATTGCGAAGGGTTTTATAGCGGAGCAAATGGTTATTGGTAGGACAGATTTTAAGTCTCCTTTTGGCTTTATCCCTTAATGCCATGAGTGCTTTTATATCATCATTCATCCAAGGAGCAGGCTTGTGTTTAATTCTGATACGTTTCAGAGGCGCAACCGAATTAAATAAAGAAAGTAAAATGGAGTTGAAGTTGGAAACCTTGTCGTCAATAGTCGATGGCTCGAAAACAGACCAATCCATGTCCTCGGCGGCTTGTCGCAATGAATGAAGATCAATATCTTTGTAGTTGCGGCGCAATATGAAAAGGGGCTTAGATTTAGGAGGTCGAATTCTGTAAGAAAGAAAAACAAGGTCGAGAAGCTGGCAGTTATTTGACCATGGGAGATAACTTTATTAGGAGTAGATACTATCATAAGATCTAGAAGTGAAGGTGTGCAATTGGGAAAATGATGAGTAGAAGAAGTAGGGAGGATATGCAAATCGTATGAAGAGATAATAGAATGGAGTTTTGTAGAGCGCGTATTTGCCTTCATAAGGCAAGTATTAAAGTCCCCCATTATTATTATATGCTGATAATTAGTCCTCAACTCTTCAAGCATTTTATCGAAAGAATCGAAGTAATCTATGTTGAGATTAGGGGAATAAAAAACACCGAGCAAAAATTTAGTATGACGGATAGTTATTTCTAGAAAAAGGTATTCTGATGAGGCACAATATAAGCACTAAGGAGAAGAGGTAACGACACGAACCGGCAACTCAGTACGAAGGTAGATTGCTACCCCACCACAGCCCTTACCGGTCCTATCATTACGAAAGAGGTTAAAACCTGGGAGAGCAAACTGCGAAGAAGGAAGAGAAGGTTTAAGAAAAGATTCAGATATAAGAAGAGCATCGACTGTAGAGCTGCTAATAGATGCCAAAAGTTCCGAGTGATGCGCAGGAATGCTTTGGACATTTATATGAGCTACATTAAAATCGTTACGGTGATTGGAAAAAGAACAGGATAATTGATCAGACAGCGTCATAGTGGTATCACTTCCAGCACTAAAGAAACTAGACGATGAGGAGGAACATGAGAAAAAACTATCATTTAAATTTATAGTGTCCATATTGAGTATAAATATAAACTAAGTATATATGAGTAATATAGATAAAATAAAATTTATAAAAATAAAAATTAAAAATAAATACAATAATTCAATAGCGGACCTCAACACACTTGCTGTTAAAATAAGAATTTAATCAAAAATTATACTAATAATATGGGTCGAAAGGAGTTCCAGATTGAAATTACAAAATTATTACCTAAAAAAGATATGAACAACAAAACAACAAAAAGAAACACTGAAACCGCTGACTGTTGCACTACACCAGACTTAATAAATACGGAAGCACAAACAAAAAGAAAAATCAGTCCCCCTAATTTAGGATCCATTCAAAATCCACGCTGTCAATAATGAGATTAGCTTCATACATCATGTTAACGAAATGCAAACGCGTCGGAGTAGAAATTTGTACACACAGCGCAGGTTCAGAACGGAGCTCTGTATTCAGGGCTAATAAATAAGAAAAAAAAAATACAATAACAGCTGTCACAAAACGTCAGTACAAAACCTACCTACATTGACAAACAAAATCAAATCGGAATTTCTAAATAAAATTGGGCAAACATTTAGAACAATTTAGAATACTCACGTATGGTTAATAAAGTTTTAGTAGGAAGATGAAGTGCTTAAACGATATTTACGAAGAGATTCACAAACAAACCATGAAACAGAATAAACAATTCTGCGAGCAATTCTGCAAAACAGATCTGCGAGCTGATTTCCATTCGTCTTGGGCTCCTGTTTTCAGGACCAGCTATAGTTTTACCGACAGCAGATGTCTGACCATCACATGGAGCTGAATAGCTTGTAGCCAGAGGGAACCGTGAGATGATGGCCTGCAGTTCAGCTTCAGTCTCGATGCGTCTTCTGCTCTTATCAGGGAGGCTGATTATTATGTTGCCATCTGCAGACCAGCAGTTCTTAATCCCAAAGTGCTTTCTAGCAGATGTAAAAATGCTATGTCGAGGTCGTGTTAAAAACTCTGAGATTGTGATTCCAGTACCCTTAAGAGCAGTCTTATTATCCCAGACCAAACGTCGGTGACCATAGTCAATAAAGCGCATAAGAACAGGTCTAACCCTAGTACCAGGAGAACCAAGCCTGTGGCAGACCTGCAACACATCACTTGAGATATCTGGCAATTTTAAGTTATTTTTGAAGAGCTGCTGAACATCCTCAAACAGGTCCGTCTTCTCACTCTCTGGTAAACCGTGGATGAGAAGTATCTTCCGTCTCAAAGCCATCTCATGCCTGTCATGGCTGATAGTGAGCAGCTCAAGTTGAGACTTTATGGACTTCAACGCCTGCCACATAATAGTTTTAAAATCAGTGAACTCACTTGCGAGAGTATTGAGGTTGGGGCAGATTGTAGCAGATCCAGTGGTTGCCTTTTGCAGCTTCTCTTCATATTGGAGCAGGCGTGATTTAAACAGCTTTTCAAGATTTTACATGTTCATAAAGAGATTGTGTTCCATGTTGCAGTGTGGAAATTCAAAAATAGTTAAACAGGTGATAAAAGTTAAGGATAATTATAACAGCAGTTGTGTGTGAGCTTCACAGGTACTTATTCCATTAAATATTGATTAGATTTTTATTAAATTAAAATATAATAAATTTAAATTTTCGGAGCTAAAAACAGGTGACTTTTCTTTCCAACTACCCACGCAGAAAAAAAAAACTATTTGATTCACAGTCCTTTAAATCACTAATTTCAAAGTTTGGATCAGCAACACTATCATCACTGTTTTCATAGTTGTGTTCAATATAATCGCGTGAATGATTTTCAAGTATATTTGGTTCAGTAAGGACATCAAAAAGCTTCTGAGTTTCAGGAGACATACACGGAAGAGGCGATGAATCCTGTTCTACATTATTGAGAGCTGTTGGAGTTTCTGGAGTCGAACATGGAATAAACGATGAATGCGGTTCTAAACTAATCACAGTTGTTTGAAATTCTGAATACATACTTGGGTTAGGCGAGAAATTTGCTCTTGAACCATTTTCAACTGTATGGACAAAACATGGAATAGGTGGTGTTATTGATTCTGTACTATATTCACAGCTGTTATATCAGCAAGAATGAGTGGCAATGGTGTATCTGGATTGCATCCATCTGAAAGTATAAAATTCAGAATAAATAGTTATTTATACAACTGCTATAAGTAGTAAGAAACATAATTTGAAAAAACCTCATTGAGAAATAATCTGCCTACGTAAATTAAGTTTAGGTATTCTGAAAAGTATATACGTACTCAGCTGATTCTTAGTTGGTGAAGAAGTTGAGTGCACGTAAGTCAATGGACTGTCAGTATAAGATACATCTGAAATAATCATGAATGAATTTAGAACCATTAACACAAGCGTATCGATGGCGTAGCTTCTTGACCTTCACAAGTGCTTGTAACAGCCTAGACTGAATAAATGACATTTCATTTCATTTCAAGACGTGAAATAAACCGAGCATGCATATGCATCAGACAGGCAACAAGCAACAGTAATAGGCACAAGGCAGACAAGGTGTACCCAACGCTTTAGTTAAGATAACATCAAACTACTGAGTGCAAGTCATACGTTAAGGAGATTTTGAAAAAGGCTTTTGTCTATTAGGGGATTACAAAAACTTTTTTTTATTAAGTTAGTAGAGATCTTTACTTACGTTCTTTGTTTTCTTGGTTAGTTTTTACATTCATTCGAGGAGTAAGTGGTGAAAATGGTGGCGGAGTAATTGAAATCTCCGTAGTTGATGAAAATTGAGTGTTAGGTTTGTCCGATGCCATATTATCATTTCCTGGACGATAAAAATATGTTATTAGAAATTATTGAGAGAAAGAAATATTTTTTATGCAGAGTAACTAATACAATGTGAATGAAAAAAACATTAATAAGCGTAAAACCTCTTAGGTGGTGATTGTGCTCATGAATATGAAAAACTTTTACTATGGGGCCAAATCTGCAACTCAAAAAAAAACAGCTGTTCCATACATTCCGGTCGAGTTGGTATTGACAATTTGTATGAAACAGCTGATTTTTTGTTGATTAGTAGAGTCGGCTCCATAGTAAAAGTTGTTCATATTCATGAGCACAATCACGACCTAAGAGGTATTGCGCTTATCGAAAAAAAGTATGTAACAGCCCTACAAGTCCCTAGGTACTTACCGTCGTCAACTTTTGGGTAACGACAATTTATCGTATCTCGCAAGCTTATTAATTTTCGTCTTTTTGCTAACAAAATCATTAAATCTTTGTTATTCTCATTGTTCTTGTCATACTGCAACAAAATTGACGACTCAATCAATATACTACAATTTAATAAAACCAAATTTTCCAAGTAAAAGAAAAAGCACCAATTATTAACAAAAAACCGTTTGATTAATACAAATAAATTAATATGTTACTTACTTCGTCCTCGTTCATTGCGAGCACAAAATGAGTACCTAGATCACGCTTTTATTAAAATAACAATTGAAAACCAAAATCAATTAGCAGCACACACTTGTTTACATCAACATAGGTCAAGTGCAACTGTCACTGTGTCACACAACATAACCCACAATATTCGTAGTGCGCAATCTTTCCGCGCTCTAGTGAAGCTAGGGAGAGAGAAAAAATACGGCACACCAAGGCGTGGGAGTAGGATAGAAAATGTAGGTAAGCCGTGGTCGTTGCATTTTAAAATATTATTTGTTTCTCTTATTCGTAGTTATAATATATGTAGTTTGAAACATTGTTCATTTTCACTTTTATTTACAAACCAGGAAGGATAAGGGTAATGAGTCACACTGTAAACTGTGTAATAATTATTCATACAACGTTTCAAATGTCAATGGAACTTTTTATTGTTTAACTCTATTATTTATGTGATAACGTTCCAGACTCCATAAAACATTATATATTTTTTAAAGTTTAGTATTCTTAAAACAGTTCAATAATAAAATTGGGATATCAAAAATAAGTTAATATTGAACCAAACAAAGCCAAACTATGTGCATAATAACATTGTTATAGTTAAGATATTTTGGTCAGTGTCTTAGTTCTATAATTGATAATAAATCTAACATAATATTATTTATTGTGCAAAAATCCATTTCTTCCAATTTTACATTTAGATTTATTAAAACTATTAAAACTGGGTCTCTTTATCTGTCTGTACCAACAAAAGCGTACCTATTCGCTATGTGCGAAGTACATGGTGGGGGTATAGTGAAGCGATCGCAGCGCTTATCGTGGCAGAAATACGCAACAATCCGGGAAAGTAAAGTCAATTTGCACGGAGTTCGTAATAAACAAAAATTTTTTAAAATGCCTATTAATAGATGTTGTTGTGTTGTGAATTGCAAAAATAAGGGCACAAATAGTCTGTGTATATATTTCCTACATTGGACTGGAAATTAAATCAAAGAAATAAATGGATAGATGCCATAAAAAGAAATAAGTAAGCGAAATAACCTTAAATTATGATCAATTTTATTTGCGCTATATATTTTATGTGATATTCATTATTGTCTTTATTATTTTAGTGTTGATGGGTCGCCATGGTATCCCAAACCTGACGACACAATTTGTAGTGAACATTTTATGGGAAACAAAAAATCAGACGAGGAAGAAAATCCGAGTTATGCTCCTACGATATTCCCTGAAATATATCGAAAGAGGAAGGTTAATGATTCACAGGTCCTAGCTAGATATACACGCTTGACAAAACGAAGAACCACAAAAGTCTCAGATACCACATCAAGTCAAATAATAATTGAAGAAGGGAGTGAATTAAATCAAACTCAACCTTTTATGATCGATCAAGGATGTCAAGTCAATATGTTTTCTGAATCGAAATTAAGAGATACAACTTTTATTTGTATTAGATTAATTTACAGTGATCACTGTGATCCAACATCAAGAATATTAATGACAAATAATTCAAGAAAGAAAGATAAAAGCTGTGGCACTGACAAAAAATCGTATGAGGATCAATCTACCGAAACAAAAAGTCAAGAATTTGTTGGTATTTCATCAATAACAAATGATCAAGAACTCCTAGATCCTTCTGGTGTGTCATTTAGCAATTTTGAGTTTTTATTAACAAGATTAACTATGAGAAAATGTACAGTTTCCACTAAAGACCGACTTCTGATTTTTTTGATAAAAATGAAAACTGGCTTGACATTTTCAGCATTGAGTGTGTTATTTGGTGTACAAAAAAACCACAATCTCACGTATATTTCATTCGATCTTACAAAATCTAGCTTGTTCAACTGCTAATTTAATCTTTTGGCCGAATAGAGCCACCGTACAAGCACCAATGCCCAAGTGTTTCAGTCCAGATTACATCAATACAAGAGTTATTATTGACTGTACTGAATTCCGAATTGAAATCCGACATTATTTAAATTATTATACAATATATAATAATTTTTATTTATCTTTACCTTACTATATTTACTAGAAATCAATAAAATACAAACTGATGTCATTATTTGGCATAATCCCGGAAAGTTGCGCATTGTAGGTGGCGCTACTGTCGTGCACATAGCGAATAGCTTTAGCTAGCTGGTCATTCAAGTTGCCTCAACATTTCTTTACCTAGTAAAATAAATAATACATTGTATGATTTTAAACAAGGCTTTATTATAAAAAATATAAAAGTGATGGATCGTTTCATGATTGGATCACTGTATGTTCCCACCAGTATACATGTTTTTAATCGTTCCATAGTACCATTATTATTTATCTTAAACATTACAAAGCACATGGAACGTTGTAAAGATCTGTTATATTGTAAAATTAGTTTTTTTAAATGTTTCAAGTTGATCGGAACATTATTTTTATTTTATTCATTTTAAAATTTGTTTTTTTAAACGTGTCAAGTTGATTGGATCATTATTTTTGTTTTATTCGGTCCAAAACTAATTAAAATAATATGATCCAAATGACTTGTCACTTTTTGAGATCACAATCAGATCTTTTGGTTCGTTTTATCATTTGGACCGCTTCTTTATTTCGATAAATTATGTCGTAAGAGAGTCAGTGTCTTCAGCACTAGATAACGCGATCCAAAATACCTAGCGTGGGTACGAAAACTCAATTTTGACCACCTTGTGGATTGGAATTTATTGGGCACTCCAATACATCTTCATTTAACGGTGACGATGGCGGAATATCGGGTAAAACACTATCTAAAGCTCTTTCAAAAACCTCACCGAAACCTCTTGGTTAGGGTAGTTAGATTTTCCACTTCATCATCGGACACACCTGCATCAGATTCTTCGCCGAGTCCGGGAGCTCTTCTAATAACATGGCTTCGATTAAGCGGTGTTGTTTTTTATATCCATCTCAATGGCTAAAACAATAATAAAGGTCAGAGCAATAATAAAAATAAAAAAGACCATTGGTTTATGATAAAACAAAACACCCACTTCGTCGTGTATGTTTATTATAAAACCCCATAATTTTGGAGACTCAAATCACCTGACGGTACTTTTAAGTCCACATTAGCTTTTATCAAATCTATACATATAAGGTACGTTGTTCATCAATGAACCAGGTAAATTGTGAATGGCTGTATTTGCTTCTGTTTCTCTCTTACATGGTCATTCTTTTTGTTAACAGATGGCAACAATGGGCAGTTTTGTATGAAACCCGTCCCTACCCTTGTAACATGTTAAGTTTTGAAATAAATAGTGTATTTTGTTGTAAGGATAGCAAATATGAACGAATTAATGAATGAATGCATGAGAGAACGCTACAATCTTGACTTTTGTATTTTTCAATTTTACTTGTTTATGAATGAAGTCTATATGGTTTATTATTAGTTTGTCTAGCAGTGGACGTCTTTTGGCTGACACGATGATGAATATAATTAAAGTCTGGTAACAAAAATAATAATCTAAGTATAAATGAATGTAAACGAACGAATGAATAGGATAATGCGAGAATTCAGACATCCATTTGTTGAACTATTTTACTTGTATAATGTTAATATCCTGAATTGTAATTAAAGAACGACGTGTGATTGTGAATGAATTGAGAATTAACACCGTATTCGCCATGTTATGTTTGCTTAAAACCTGTGCATGGTTATCAGTGTCACACACATCAGTAGCTCGTATCCTCGAGCGGCTGAAATACTCGTAGACTGGTTACCCAACGCATTTACTTTAGTACGTTCAGCTCCTTATCAAAACAAAATCTACTTAAGTGTATGACTGTAAAACCAGCCACTCAAATAGAATGGACACGTTAGTAAAAGACACATTTTTAAAGTAATTATTTATTAAATAGTATTACAACTTTGTACTATAATATTGTCCCAGGCACCTGCAGGACCAACGAAACTATCTAAATGTCTGCAGATACCGAAGTACCAAATAATGTTTACAGTATGTGCACATGCTCCTACAGTCCTCATACCGGTTAGGCATGAGCAGTAATATTCGATTATAGCAGATCGGCCTTCCAAATTCGGGTTTATCAGTAAGTAAGTATAAAATATTTTGTTTGAGATGTGCCTCGATGAGATGCGGACTCTTAGCAGCATACAATTTTCGGTACCGTGTCATCCTAGGACTTGCTGTCAAGCACACTTCCATGTTATAGACACCTCCTCGTAGATGCTCACTGACATAAGAGCGAGCAAGTCGTAAATGGTAGGTCCCTAAACAAATCAAAATGATTTCATCTTCAGTAAGGACAGGGAACGATATATTGATAGATTCATCATTCATTGATACGAATGCGGCTCGCTGGCGCTTTACGTTTTCTCCCGTGACGTAGTTTCCAAGCCTGTTGGGAACATTCATCTTTTCGTTTATTATTTCTGTTATAGTTGCGGCGTGCCTAACATCTCTTAATCGTTCTCTGAATGAGTTTAGCAATGCCCCAGCTATCCGAAAGTCAGAAAAAAGGTGTGGTAATGATTTGTTGAAATGTTGAATTCGAAACAACTTAAAATCTCTTTTAAACCATCCGTTTATAACTTCTATTATCCAGCGCACTATTGTGATTTTTCTTGACTCATTTGCCTGCTCGTTGGTCAACTGCGTCGAACCTCGATTTTTAGATGGTGGCATGTGAGACTCATAGACATGACAGTCCAAGTCGGGAATAGCATCTCTAAAACCACGATCTAGTATAAATGCATCACCTACATGCAATAAATAATGAAAAGGTGCGTGGTTTTCATTCATGAGTTCAGTCATTATTGTAGCGTCGGATGTGGTTGCTGCATGAGGACCGGTTATGTCGATAATATATCCATCTGTGCATACTAGGAGAAAGGGTTTTAACAAGTTTTTATATTTATGAATGCTGTATGTTTTTTTTAAAGGCGAAATATACATACTTTTCTGGATGTAGATGTATGTTCTATCTACTATTAAGATAGCTTTTGGCTCTATCGTGCTCCCAAATAGTGCAGTCGGTATGACCAAATTGTGTCTTATTTATACGCGGAGCGAACTCTGAAGTGAGACACTCACGCGCTATTTTGAAATAACGCCCCAAAGTACGCCGGCTAATATTTAGGTGGCACGCAATTCTGACATCGGGCTCAGCTGACCTTAGTTTAATTAAGTATGCACCTGAGACACTGTTTGAACGTTTGGATTGCTCTGCAAGGAACGGAGTCTCATTTAAAAGAGTAGCGAACTGTTCGTGTGTTAGCCC